GAGTTGGATCAAAATCATATTCAACTACAAAACATGGGAGATTCTTTTTATCCCATGTTTAATGCTTCACAACCAATGTTATACACTGTTTTATATAGCACTCTGCCATATTTTACTTCCTCACGCTGACGCAAAAACCATTGTGACGTCATTACTGTGGGATATGAAAACGATATCCCATGAGCTATATCCACGGGATAAAGGTGTAAACATGGGATAAATAGGAAATATCTTTAAAAATCCTTCTCAAGAACCACTGGGCCAGGAAAGATGAAACTCATGTGGAATCATCCTCAGGTAGTGTAGATTTAAGTTTGTTCAAATCATGACCCCCGGGGCAAAGGTGGGGCCAAAATGACGGACCCAAGTTTTGCATAGGAATATATAGGAAAAATCTTTAAAAATCTTCTTCTCCAGAACCACTGGGCCAGGAAAAATGAAACTCATCTGGAATCATCCTCAGGTAGTGTAGATTCAAGTTTATTCAAATCTTGACCCCTGGGGCTAGGGTGGGGCCAAATGGCCGACCTAAGTTTTACGTGGGAATATATATGAAATATCTTTAAAAATCCTTCTCAAGAACCACTGGGCCAGGAAAGATTGAAACTCATGTGGAATCATCCTCAGATAGTGTAGATTCAAGTTTGTTCAAATCATGACCCCCTGGGCAAGGATGGGGCCAAAATGGCCGACCCAAGTTTTACATAGGACGAAGGTCTTTCTTTGAAAATCTTCTCTGTTCCTGAGTATTAAATAAACTAATTAAGTTCATAGTTATGATGAGCAAGAGTATCTCTACTAAATTGTGAAATTCATGGCCCCAGGGTTAGTATAAGCTCTTTTTCTTTAATACATCAAGACACTTTTTCTTCTCCCGCCCCCCTATTTTTTTCTTTACATAAGTCGATTAAAACGTACTAAACAAAGCCTTCTTGTTTATTTCTGGATAGAAAATAATTGAGGAGGGAAGCTTGAACTGATGAGAGTGGATGAGGTTATGTCTGAACCAGTAGAGAAGAAGGTCTTGTCGATCATTTCCTGTCCCCACAGCTTTAGTTCTACTGAACCTGTTTGGTCTGTAATGGTTACAATTTTCCTCTTTGAATTGTTATTAATGAGGACATTAGTCATCTGTAAAAGAAATGAATTATGAATAAAATTTAGGGGAAAAAATGAAGATGTTGATTTTTGTTCATGATCAAACTATTTTTTAAGATTTAGTTTTGAAATACCCATATCCTTCTGCATGAATATTCTTGAATCTATAATATTGAAAAAATGAGGATATAAAAGTTGAAATGTATTGGTGCATATAAATTATAGTGCTTGTGCTTGTCATTAATGCAAATAATGTGATTGATATATTTTTCGTTTGATCCACTCTGTCCATATTTGATTTTGTAAACCATATATGGAACAGAGCAGGGTTAATTAAATGATCCACTGGGTGAAAAAGTGGTTTCCCATGATGGGAAACCACATGGAAACCTCAAGTCTACATCATGTTTCCCAGAGGTTTCCGTAGCGGGTGCTAGGTTATTCCGTCAAGTTTCCGTGACACGGAACCCCCTATGCTCCTATTCCATAAGGTATCCCTCTGTAAACCTGAAATTTTCCGAACATCCACGTAGTTTCCCGTAATGGGAAACCTGAAGATTCCACTGGTTTCCAGAATCAGGAAACTTCATGGAATCGGAGCGTAGGGGTTTTCCATGGAATGGAAACTTGGTGGAATCTTAAGGTTTTCTTATACGGGAAACTACATGGAAGATCGGGAAACTTCGCAATTCCTAAATTTTCCTTGACTCAGGAATCCTATGGAATCGGAGCGTAGGGGGTTTCCGTGGAATGGAAACTTGATGGAATCTTTAAGTTTCCTTATACAGGATACTACATAGAAGCTTGGGAAACCTAACGATTCTTGAGTTTGCTGGACTCAGGAAACCATATGGAATATGAGCGTAGTGGTTTCCGTGGAATGGAAACATGATGGAATCTTAAGGTTTTCTTTTATGGGAAACAACATGGAAGCTCGTTAAACCTTATGATTCCTGAAGTTTCCTTGACTCGGGAAACTATATGCAACTTGTGTAGCACTTCCTGTGTGGCGGAAACTTGGTGGAATTATCTGGAGTCTCATTCCTGGTGGAAATTACTGGGAAACTTCAAGATTCCCCAATTTTTCTAAAGGAAGCAATACGAAATAATGCGTATTCTTTTAAAAATATATCAAAAAAATTTATTACATGTAAAAGAAAAGAGCATTACCATTTTAAATGTTTAATAATTCATTTGATGTACAAACACTTTAACTGAATTTTTCAATGATATCAAATTATTAAATGAATTCATATATCTTAGATAAACAATAGACAGTCTTTCACATTTAAGTCCATTCATAAGGGTCCTTTAGTACTTATTCCGACATCAGTTTCCTGGTTTTCTTCACATCACCTATGATCTGCAATATTCATACAAAATTATTATATGATGTCAGAATTATAATGCTTTTCAATTACAAAAACACTTTACATGACCTGGATATCATGTTCTTCGCCCTCTAACTATAGTCCTGCTGGACACGTTATTACAGGTGACGTAAAAATAGTTCGTACAGAGGACCTTAGATCACTTATTTTAAAAGGTCCTAAATATAGGGAACCCCGATCCTTCAACTGGCGTCGGAAGAACTACGAACGATAGTATTGTTCTTCCGCCTAGCTCTTAGTCACTTTTGAAAAGTTAACATATTTGATTGATTTTCAGAATATTTATAGATATTAATATGAATTTTTATAAAACGTTACTTTTTGGGGATACCAAAGAAAGATAACTCTATAATTATGGTAAAACTTGAGATTTTCACTATAGAAATCAATGGAAAACGGAAAATATTTTTAAAAATCTTTCCCCCCCCCATGAAACAAAAATTCCTTTTAACAGGTAATAAAGACTGTCATTTTACAAATTTATGCCAAAGCATTTTTGTGTTTCACGGGGGGGGGACATATGTTTAAAGACAAAAAACGAAAAAAAAGTTGATTTTTCACCAATTCTAAAGCTATTTACAACTAAATAATTGTATTTTTGATAATTTATATATGTTTTATTTATTTGTGTACAGCATTAAAAAAGATATGAATTATATTTTATCATATTTAAGACTATTTCAAAAGATTCTTGAAAGTTCGATTTCACTAGAAAATATCGTCTACCCCCCTTTTTTGAGAGCTGAAACTCTGGAATACTTTAATAGGAAATAAAGACAAGCGAAGTGTAGTAATTTGTTTTTAGAAATTATATTGAAAAATAATAACGCCATCGTGTCCTCTTTGTTACACAAGCAGTGTCTGTCGTGTTATTTTAAACTCATTTGAAGACCGTATGAATTAGGTAAAATAAAAATACATCAACAAGATACTGATGTACAAGGAACAGTTACTGGCATAATGCGCCCTTGCTTTATTTCTTTAGTTTTTATAGAAAGTTGCACGGAATATCCGATTTTGCAGATTCAACGATACCCTAATATCGAGTATTATACGCGATTTCACGAAAAATACCCGATTTCGAGTATTCTCTCCGACCTGTGCAATACATTCTCCAACTCCTTAGGTGTATTTTCTAAAAATTGAGATATTTTTGAAGACAGAATACTAACTGCTGTACCTGTATCTATCAAGAATCTACAAATGACACCATTGATTTTCACTTCGGCAAAGAGACATGATAATGCTCTTCAACTGTATAGTTGGTCTAGAATTATCTAGCAATTGGGTCTGGATTGATCTTTCGGCCCCAAGAACAACCCCGTCTAGTTTAACGAATTGTTTTTTTTTTCTGAAATTTGTTTTCTTGTTTTTTCAGGGCTATCGAAAAAAGTGACCCTTATTCCTACAATTGAAGCATTCAATTTCACAAAGATTTCCATAAGACCCTGGACCTATGCCACGAAAAAGTCCTTTAATCCTACAATTGAAGCATTCAATTTCACGAAGATTTCCATAAGAACCTGAACCTCTGCCACGAAAAAGTCCGCGCTCCCTCCCTCTTACTGAAAATTGGCTATAATTGGATTCAATTGAGCTTTAAAAATTCTCATGTTTTCAACCATAAATTGACTCTTAATTTGAAAATTTCTCCAAACACCCTTGCATCGTTTGAAGTAATTTATTAATATCTTGTTTGTTGTCGTTTGACATATTTTTTTTTTCTTTTGTTTTAGAAGAAACTGATCTAACACCTGTTTTTTCATATTTGTTTGTTTACTACGGAAACTCGCATTTATTTTGAAAGTTAGAAATGTTATATGAAAAAGGTCTTTCTATCTTGTTGGATATTTTAATGATGAAGTGAAATAATTTTCTTAAGTATCACGATAAAGAAAAGGAACAATTGATATTTCTGTAAACAAAATGGATTTATAAATTTATGAAGGTCAACATGTGCTTTCCTGTTTTATTTGTGTCCTCCCTCTGTTAAATAAATTTTTTTGACCCCCCCCCTTCCCTTTCCAAAGCCAACACACTGAAAGTACAACTTGAATTCGTTAATATTTGTACAGGTAAAGTATTTGGTTACAAAAACTTCCGTCGTCTCCACTTAAAAGCTTTCATGAATTATTCTTATCATGATATGATATACAAATTGAAGAGGTAGCGTAGCCTCAAATATGTTCAAATCATGACCCTTGCTGGTAGTGTTGGATCACAGCAGTAGATCAAACTTATGCAAGGAAGAAATATTAGGATATTAAAAAAAATATATCAGGATATGAAAGCCGAAATTAGAAATAATATATATAGAAATGTTTCATCGGGATATACAGATACAAATGACTGTTCAAAGAATCTGCCTGAAGGCTGGGCAAGGCAATGGAGAATAGACGTCAAAAGAGCTTTTGTATTTAAATTTTTCAATCTGATTTCAGCGATGTTCGCAGCTAGGTTAAGGACTTCCATAATGTAGAGCTCATGAATATCACGTGACTTAGCTCCGCCCATTTTCATAATTATTCATGAGAAAACTTTATTTAGTGTTTTACTTTTATACATTCATTTATCTGTACTTTAAAAAAATATTTTACACGTTTTTTGATAAATGCCTTTTGTTTGTTTCGTTTTGGTCGCTAAATTAGCACTATGAACGTGTTTTCTATGAAATTCCTAAATGTCGTTTGGAGTGATCTACGTCGCCTCGGCGCTTTCACCGTCTCGTCAACAGTGGCTGCAGGTGCGTGGGAAAATGTTGTCTCTTCCGATTTTATAACGAAATCGTTGCATGGCTTGATGATGGATGCCAAGTATTTGCTGGACAGAGTTTTATCGTAAGTTTACACTTTATTCTAAACTGTTTATCCGTGATTAAATGCGTAATCTAATGGAAATTCGCTGACTTGTTTCAGCTACACCACGTGGGTTTTCATCTTTTTGGCGATTTTTCTTTTTTTAAAAACAAATTGTGTGATTTCTTTTACACGTAGTAGTCTAATTGCATACACTGTGTTTTTTTGCTTATGCATAAAAAATATGCAGTCGATTAATACCCCGAATACTCGAGGAAAAGTTTCAAAATTTACACGGGGGCCCCGAAAGGGAAGTCAATGTAATTTCTGATCTGTCATCTGATATATCAGTCTGTACAACATAATTGTTGCATTAATTGATTCAACTGCCTTGATGATGCATTAGTTTTACACACTTGGTGCACAATGCAACTCTAAACAATAAAAATTAACATCCAGTGACAAGTTCCGACTCAAAACTTTGTAGTTAGAATAATCTAACTGTGTCTCAGTACAAGCCCTCACCACAACCGGGTCCGTAGGACAATATCATTTTAACGATAGAACATTCTATCTAAAAACTTTGTAGTCTTGTTTCCTGCTATCAGCCTGGGAAAAAATAGGGTAGAGAAGAAAATAAGTTTACTTTTCATTTAATTTTTTTTCTCCAACCGTACCTCTTTGGATATGAACCAAAACCAAAGTCAAAATAAAAAAAAAAAACCATAGGTCAATATTTTATCTTCTAAAATGAAAGTCCATGTTTAGCTGCAGAACTGTAGCTCGCTGCATACAGTAAGAAAATTTGGAGAGATAAAGCAGAGAGCTACAGATCCAAGCGTTGTAAAAACCTTCGATTTACTCCGACGATTTTTTGTCACTACTTAAGGTATTTATTTCGTGTAGTTTAAGCTTTCTATGGCTTTTAGAATAGTAACCTATAAATAATTCACATATTTAACCCGTATATTTGATACTTTGTCTACTTCTTAACGGTCTGTATTGGACTTTATAATGTCGGTTTAAAAGAGTTCCAATTCGATATCTGTAACCACAAACAGCCATTTGTTAGCGGTGAGAGGTAAGTAAATCATGTAAATGATCAGAAATTGAAGTTGAATGTACGATTAATTATTAAATACCATTTAAAATTATTTTTAAAACTGGGGAAAGTATAAAATGCATGAAAAAATACCCATAGTGAGCGACAAAAATTGTCGGCGTAAATCCAATATTTTTACAACGCTTGGATATGTAGCTCTCTGCTTTATCTGTCCAAATTTTCTCAAGCAGAGAGCTACAGTTCTGCAGCTAGTCAAGGCTCTGACAAATCCCATTTCCCGACACATGGAGCTAGTGAATTTTTGAGGCAGGCAAGTGATTTTTTTATAAAATGGACTAACTAAAGGATTGTTTACAGGACAGTTTGAATTATAAGTGTGAAAATCACACAGTCTTGCACATCAGCATTTTTTAATGAAAGGCTAGCTATAAAGGTTTTTTCTAAATCCTTATGATGGCACATGATTATCAAATTCACTGTCAAAGAAAATCATAAATAATGCTGAAATGCTGATTTTATCAAATATTTTAACCAAGTACATGATGTATTAATGTAAATTATACACACCTAGGGCACAGTTTGCAAAGCAGACACCCCCCCCCCCCATCTCCATACACACACACAAACACAAGAAAAATCTCATCCATCAGATATTATTTGTTACATAGTTTGTAACTGAGTTAAAGATGATAATTAATTAGTAAATAAGGCCATAATAAAAATATTCCTAGATTCTCATCACCGCCCGCCCTGATTTTAAACCCCCGCCTCGATTTTTTTTATTTCTGTTTTTCTTCTTTGTAATTCTGATTGGGATCGGTATTCATCTATCATTCTACTTTCGTTTTAAATCCCGTGAATGTCAACATGATTTGGACAGCTGAAAAGATGGTAATTGCTGTAATACACGCGTACGTATTTTAAACAAGGGTCATTGGTTGAAAAGATTGGTGATGATGTGAAGTAAGAGATAATGGAACCTTTACCATGTCTTTTATTCTGGTATTGTAGATAAAATATCACCGATTGACTAGGTCAATAAAAAATCTGCAAAATTGAAAAATATAAGATAAAAGCCGCCCGCCCCGATTTTTAAAAAAAATTTGGATGAGAATCTAGCAATTTATTTATTATTACCTTATGCTAAAAGTAGCCAGGCGAAAAAAACATTTTAATTAATTTTTTTATGCAAACATTTATTAAATCGATCACTGTGTTTCGAGTTCCCTTGCTCCATGTCAGGCAATATTTTAATCCCTTGATTTTCTATTTCAACATTTATAATTCGCAACTGAACTATCAGTGCGTCACAAAAAATCAATCATTAAAAAGATTTAAACAAAATCCTAATTTGTTAAAAACGCGGAAAAACTTTCTTTGACTGTCAATTGTGAAAATTAAATATTTTTCAGAGTATAGCCTTATATAATTTATATTGACTGCTTCTCCAAACAAAAAATATAAAGACTAACTTTTCTAAGCCTAACAAAACAGATAGTTAAATTGCTCTCTTTTATAATAAATGCATCTCTTGTCAATTATGTGATGAATTAGTTTTAAAAATGTATTTTATAAGTAAGCTGAAATAAAAAGTTTTACAACTTTATTTAAACTTTATACATTAATTTGTTAAATAAATAAGTTTAATGCATAAATACAAAAACTGTAATTCGATCCTCCTTTCAGTTTTTTAAATGTAGTATGAAGTTATTTCAATGTGATTTATATACATATATTGAATATACATGTATATTTTCAAATGTAAAGAAATCAAATGAAAAAAAAAGTAATTTGAGAACAATGTACCCAAAAAAGGGTTGACATGCAAAATGTGCTTTTCAAAGCATTCGCTTCCATTTCTGAGTTCAATTTTTTTTTTATCAACTTGATTTCATTATTAAACATCAAGACTGCCCATTTAAAGATCAGGTACCGGTAATGAAATACCGATATGTCTAAAAGTGATAAATATTCCAGTGAACCAGAAGTTTTTCTGCAATTTTAATGAGCGACGCTGTTCCCTTGTCTTTGTTTTCCATTAGTTCTCTTTGTTTTTTTTATGATGGCTGTTTGTAGTTTAGCCAATGCTGCATCATAGGAATTTCTAAAAAATGAGTCATTTGTATTTTTCAGAATCCGACGGTACTTTAAAAACTCTTTGAATGTTGGATCATCACATGGCAGGAGTGCTGTAACCATGGAGACAGTTGATTCTGTATCTAGTAATGTATGAAAAAACAAATTATTAAGTAAGATTATTCTAATTGAATTAAAAGAAGATAAAATGATAGAATTATAGCTTGTATTTTATAAATGAAGTGTGTGAAATTACCACTGAAATTTACCTTTTACTTCTGTGAAGAGTTTTCTTTTGCAAGTCTTTTTTGTGCACGATTTGTCTGAAATATTGTACACACTCACATGTTATTATATATATAAACTTATAATTGGTATTATTGCGGGCAACGTTAAAATGACTAAACTTATTCTAATACTTCCAAACAGGAATATTTTGTACTCCAGCGGATGTCCTCATCTTACCTGCCGTGGAATTCTTGATTGTTTTTTCAAGACCGGATGTGTTTCCTACAGTGAGAAATCCACCTTGATGACTCTCTACAAATAAGTAAGCTTTCATTAGGTTTTAGCTGAGCATGTGAGCTTTTGTGATCAAAAAGTGTCCGGCATCTGTCCGCCATTTCTTGAAACTTTTCACATTTCCAACTTCTCAAAAATTATTTGGTTAATTTCAACTGAACTTGACCTGAAGCATCCTTGGGTGAAGAGGATAATGGCATGACCTGACACCCCTTAGAATGGACTAGCCATTCCAAATTTAAGGCAATGCTTTGGAAAAATTGTCTCTGGAAAGCTAGTTTAATTAATGTTTAATGAACAATGAAGAAGTTAAAATATTCAAACCCAAGAGATTCATTGAAATTGAATACATAACAGATGTGTAGGTATTCAGGTTAATCAGTACATGTATATTTACTCAGATAGTACTTTCGGCATGAAAAGATGGAATGTGTCCGAATTTATTATTTTGAATTTTGTTGAAAGTTATCACCCTCTGACTTAAATAATAAAATCCAAAAAAAAAAAACAATGTTAACAAAACTTTAATCTATGGTAAATAGAAAGTCATTTTCAATATTTATTCAATATACTTCCAAGGGGTAGAGTGGGTCCAAAATACTTTATGTAGGAATATATATTAAGTAAGAGTTCTTCGGTCCAAGTTTGTTAAAATCTTGAGCTCCAGAGAAAGGAGGGGCCACAATACCCTGTTCATGACACAAAAGAACAATGAAGCTATAAATATTTTAGGGAGTTATTTTCTAGTAGTTTAAATTTATTTTTATTCAAATGATACAAATGATACAAATCCTACAAATATACATCGACCATTGCTTCCAAACTTTTCAATTACAAAAACACTTTACATGGCCTGGATATCGACTATCTGAAAAATAATCCCCTTTCGTGTTCATGTTCTTCTTTGCCCTATAACTATAGTCCTGCTGGACACGTTATTACAGGTGACGTAAAAATAGTTCGTAATGAGGACCTTAGATCACTTATTTTAAAAGGTCCTAAATTTAGGGAACCCCGATCCTTCAACTGGCGTCGGAATTTCATAAATATTATGGATTCTATTGAAAATTACGCCAGACGATGGGCTAGATATGAAAAAGAAGACATTGACACCTTGTCAGAATGGATTAAATGTATCAGATCCATGTTATAGTCACGTATTAAAAGATTGAGGGGCAAAGTGAAAACCATCTATCCTTCTGTGTTCAATAAACCAGAAGTGAAAAAAGAATTAGATAGAATACACGATCAGTACGTACTGGTTCCTGCCGACAAAGCAGGTAACAACATTGTCTTCGTTTGTAAAGCTCATTATATAAATTGCATTCTAGAAGAACTTGGATTTAATTCTACAAGTGGTAATCCTACTTATACATATTCTTCTCTATCTAAGGAAGAAATTCTTCAGAATCACCTGTCAGTTTTGAATACTTTTAATATTCCACAGAGCCAAAATGAATTTGAACTACCTTATATATATATTGGATTCCGAAACTTCATAAGAGTCCTTACAAACAAAGATACATTGCAGGTTCCAGTAAATGTTCAACCAAGCCTCTTTCGTTACTTCTCACTAAAATATTGACACTAGTGAAAGAAAAACTTCAAGAGTACTGTACAACTATATATTCAAGAAGTGGTGTAAATCAGATGTGGATATTTAAAAATTCTAAAGAACTTTTGGACAATTTGAAATCACAAGACTTTACAAAAATCAACAGCATAAAAACTTACGACTTTTCAACTTTATACACAACAATTCCCCACGACAAATTAAAATCCAGGCTTTTTGATATCATTGACAACTGCTTCTTCAACAAAAATGGAACTCGTAAGTTTACTTACCTCGTCATTGGTCATTTGAAAAATTATTTTGTTAAAACAGATTCTGATTGCACACATAAGTACTCTGAAGTTGACATCAAGAAGATGCTTGAGTTTCTGATTGACAATATCTATGTGGTTTTTGGAGACCAGGTATTCCAACAATCTATTGGAATTCCCATGGGTACAAATTGCGCTCCGTTATTAGCAGACTTATTTTTATATTCATATGAAGCAGAATTTATGCAAAATCTTTTACGTGAAAAGAAGAAAACACTTGCTGTGGCCTTCAACTCGACATTTAGATATATCGACGACGTATTGTCAATTAATAATGATAATTTCCATTCATACGTCGACACGATATATCCTGGTGAGCTTGAGATAAAAGATACCACAGAGTCCGACACTTCTGCTTCATACTTGGATATTTTACTTGAAAAAGACACTAATGGTAATCTAACAACCAAGCTATATGATAAACGTGATGACTTTAACTTTTCTATCGTCAACTTCCCTTACTTATGCAGCAATATACCTTCATCACCTGCATACGGAGTATTTATATCTCAGTTGATTCGATATGCAAGAGCATGCTCTGTGTATGAACAGTTTCTTAAACGAGGTAAATTATTGACAAGCAAGTTGTTGAAACAAGAATATCAACAGTCTCGTTTAAAGTCATCATTTCGTAAATTCTATGGTCGATACAATGACCTTGTCAGCAAATACAATTTATCATTGAATGAAATGCTGAATGACGTTTTTCATACCAATTGTTAGTCCATTATTTATACACTGAATTGACCACGGATTTTTTCCGTTATATCCTGATTATGACAACGAGCACACGGCGGGTGTGACCGGTCGGCAGGGGATGCTCACTCCTCCATGGCACCTGATCCCACCTCTGATGTTTCGAAGGTCCGTGTTTGCTCTGCACTTATTTTGTATATTGTTTAGTGGACGGTGAGATTGAATACTGTTCGTTATTTCCATATCCTTCTGTTCCCGTTCAAGACATTGGTCATGCGGTGAGTTTCAGGGTCTCTAATATTTTCATACTTTATTTCGATTCTGATGTTTACATCAAAGGTTTTGAGCATATAAAAAACAGCACTGTCATCAAATTAATTTGTTAATGAGGAAATATAATTATATACCTGCATTAAATACTTCAAAAGTCATTTAAAACTAAGGGTCATAAACCCTCTGCTCACTCATTTAAAAGTGTTCTTGAACTTTTATGATTTTCCAAAACAATTATATGCTGAATAAAATACGAACAATTTTTAAAGCATGGCTTGCTGGGCAAAATTTGACAAATAAGGCACTTAAACTTGACAAAGAACCACGTACTCTAACTCTTGATTCCCGCCTACATTTTACACCCTTTAAATTCTATTTTAACGGCAATTTGGCCATTAAATCTTGGTTTAGTACAAAAAACAGATCTATGGTAATTGATTAATCATTTTAATTCCAGCTCTAGATAGTAAATGTTCATTAATTTCAGCTCTCAAAAAGGGGGGTAGACGATATTTTCTAGTGAAATCGAACTTTCAAGAATCACTTTATTTTGAAGAAATCTTAAATATGATTCAATGTATTTCATATCTTTTCTTATGCTGTACACAAATAAATAAAACATATATAAATTATTAAGATACAATTATTTAGTTGTAAATAGCTTTAGAATTTGTGAAAAATCAGCATTTTTTCGTTTTTTGTCTATAACCATATGTTCCCCCCCGTGAAACACAAAAAGCTTTGGCATATATTTGTAAAATAACAGTCTATACTACCTGTAAAAAGGAATTTTTGTTTTATTTTGGGGGGGGGGGGGGAAAGATATTTTATAAATATTTTCCTTCTTTCATTGATTTCTATAGTGAAATACTCAAGTTTTATCATAATTATAGAGTTATCTTTCTTTGGTATCCCAAAAAAGTAACGTTTTATGAAAATTCATATAAATATCTATAAAAATTCTGAAAATCATTCAAATATGTTAACTTTTGAAAATTGACTTAGAGCTCGGCGGGAGAATAATACTATCGTTCGTGGTTCTTTGTAAAAGAATACTAGACATTTGTGTCATTAAGAGTTGTCTCTCTTATCAGAGATTCAATGTACCTTAATTTACTTTTGGCAGCCTATCAATAAAATAAAGCTAACAGGCTCCGGTTCATTTGCATACGGATTCCCAAAACGTACCGTTCACAAAACGAACCGTTCCGTTCAAGAAACGAAAGGCACCATTCAAAAAGAGTACCGTTCCGTGCATCAAGCGAACCGTTCCGTGCTAAAAGCGTACCGAACCTTTCACAAAACGAACCGTTCCATGCACAAAACATACCGAACCGTACTGTTTGAGTGGTGTAGTACCACGGTTTAGGGTCTGTGTATATATTGTGACAATAACCTCACACCTTTGTTATGGAAAACTGATGAATCTCTAATAATAGAGAATATAAGTCTATTGGAATCGTAAAGCACAATTAGTTTTATAAGGGAAAACTGCATGAACTCACTTTACAATTTGAATTTTTAAATTTTTGTTTTAATTTTAGAAGACTGAAAGGTACTGTGTGTATTGCATGGAGACAATTAAAGGAGGAAATCTCCGGAGGCACATAATCAGAAAACATAAAAGTGAGAATGATGTTAAGGTAATAATGCAGATTTAAAGAAAAGAACAGAAATAGTTTTTTGTTTTAAAATAAGAGATTGATTGATTGATATATATTCTTTCACGTCCCTTTCAAAAAAATTTACTCATATGGAGACGTCACCACCACAGGGGCCTGTAACATACTGTATTTGATTTTACGTAATTACTATTTTTATACAAAAAGAGAAAGGGAAACAACGTCAACCCGAATTTACACAGGATCAATCTCGAAAATGATTCGTGTTTTCAATAAAATACCTTGCAGTTAGTGAAATAAAGCCCGAGATCACTCAGCAATAATCACTCTTTAATAAAAATATCGTTGCGGTCATTAAAGGATCGTGTAAGTCATGTTTTGCAGATCCGATAACCTGTCATGCAGTCAATGTAGTTTAAGTCGTCCACCAAAGTCGGTAAATATTGCTTCCAAGAACCAACGCGAGATTTGATTGGTCAATAGTACTTTTCTAGAATAAATCTGACCAATCAGGCTCCGCCTTTTACTTATCATGGGATTTTCCAAAATGTCGTCTGTTCTAGGCTTGGGGC